TCCTTACTAAATGTAGTATTTAATCTCGATGTACTCCGTCTTTGATATGATTTAAATCAAATTCCTCGTCATTATAAATATCACGAATACAAAATCAAATAGTTTTCTGGTTGCAATTTCTAATTTCGGCTATGCGTAAGGTAAGCATGCGCTCGTTGAAAGAAATGTTTAATAAAGTAAACAAATAAATATTAAGCTTCTTTTTTGTAAATTTTGATACCCTTTAGATCATAATTGCTCATTATTTATAAATTACGGTTTCATATTTTTAATTTTATAATTTCTGCATGCCATCTTTACCAGATTTAAACTGATGATCTATAATCCGGAATCGCCGAAGTCCCGACGAGTCCGGATTAAAGACTTTTGACTGTACTAGCAGATTCTGAATGATGAACCATTAAAGGAATGCTGTTTCAGCATCTCTATTGCTCGTCTATTCTCAATATTCTCCTTGCATTCAATATATAAGTGTCCTTTATGCTCTTTTGCAAAAAAATTGAAGCACCAAGAAGGACTTTTGCAATCGTGACGAAATTTTGTGTGCAAAAATATCTTGATCGATCATGCAAATGATCTAAGTTTCAAGGCAAATGAACAGGAATTGCGATCATAGCGCACATTTCTAGTGCACAATTTCCAAAGTATGAAACCAGTAAACAGAGGCAGAAAATGTATCTTTTTTTGTTGCGTTGCTGTCATTGTGATTCCGTAAAGAAGCAACTAAAGATGCCATTATGACGATATCGAACACCTTACAGACAACTAAACGACTTCAGACATGGTCACATTGTAGGGTTGCTTAAAGCTGGATGGTCATACCGAGCAATAGGCTGCTACCTGCAGTGTACAGACACCGCTGTGCAAAGATGTTGGCAGCAGTGGTTGCTATAAGGAAATTGCCGACAAAATGAAGGCTCTGGAAGGCCAAGGAGCACAAATGCGAGGCAAAATAGGATGATTGTTCACCAGGCCCGAACCACCCCAACGCTATCATTGTTGACTAGTCAATGCACTACAGCTACATCTATACCTCCTGTGGTACCATCCACCATTTCACGGAGCTTGTCTGAGGTTGGGACACAGATAAGAGACAGAGACCTTTAAGATGTTTGCCTTTGAGCCCACAACATTGGCGAAGTCGCTGGAGTGCTGTTGCAGCCGATCATCATGACTGCCATCAGACTGGCATCGTATAGTGTTCAGCAATGAATCCCGCTTCACTCTTGAAGGAGATGACCACCATGTTCATGTCTGGAGAGGACGGGGCCAGCGGTCCCAATCAGCCTTTGTTTTAGAAAGACATACAGGAATAAGCCCTGGTGTGATGGTGTGGGGTGCTATTTCTTATGACAGCAGGTCATCTTTAGTCATCATCTGTATATCTTTAACAGCTCAACAATATGTTGATACCATCCTGTGGCCAGTTACATTACCCTTCATGGCACATCATTCTGGGGCCATTTTCTAACAAGATAATGCCAGGCCACATATCGCTCGTATATCTCTGGACTGCCTCCATGCGGTTAATACTCATCCTTGGCTAGCAAGGTACCTTTCACCAATCGAGCATGTCTGGGGCATACATAGTAAGCCACCAGATTCTGGGCACCACAAAATATCGCAGATCAGGCACGAAAACTGTTAAATGCGTGGCAGAATGTGTCACAGGATGACATTAGGAACCTCTACCACTCCTTGCCTCGACGAATTCAAGCATGCATTTCCACCAGGAGCGGTTCGACCAACTACTGATTTGAACACTGAATGGGTGATTGTGAGCTGTGAACAGGTACTATGAACTTGAATTTTTAATCATTTTATTATCTGTGTACAAGCTATACACATATTCAATTTCATCGAAAACAACCACTTCCCTTATGGTGCTTCAATTTTTTTTTTTTTTTTCAAAAGAGTGTATATAGATAAAGCGAATAAACAAACATGAAAAGAATGTGGTGAAACTTGTCAATCTCTCTAATAATTATGATTTGGTAGGAAATTTTCATAAATATTAAGTAAATTCTAACTGAAAATTATCAGCATAAAAATCATTCACATCTAGGTTATTGGGATGAGCACCTTTATGTAACCATACCTGTTCATTTGTGTTACCTTTAATACGTGCGCCCCCAAAAAAAAATAGAAACGGAGAGGTACACAAATTAATGTTGGAGGCAGGAATATGTTTTCATTGAATATTGACCATATAGATATGTGACAAAATACACTGGTGTGCAAAAATTAAGGACGAAGTCGAAAAATTAGCATATCAGCTGAACGAAGAGGCAGAGCGGAGAGAAAGACCAATCAGGAGATTAAATAAGGTGATGTACGGTAGCACATGCACAGATATGCAGGTAGACGTAATGGGGGAGTGTCTGAGTAGTATAAAGCATGTTGTCGGTGTAAGATCAGTATTCTGGCAAAGAGATTGCACGCCGTATAGCAGTTTTAAAATCACACCGAGTTGCTGCCTCAGCGAGAAATGGCGAATAATCAATCGTTTAGACGACATCTGGATGCTTTTACCCGAGGTCAAATCATTGGGAAGTTGGAGGAAGGAGGAAGGCCGCAGTGTGTGACAAGTGTGGCTGCAGAGTTCGGAATTGCTCACAGCATCGTTTCACGACTTTGGAGTCAATTTCAAACTACAGGAGCAGCTATCCGGGGGTTTAGTAGTGGTCGTCCATGAGGAACCACACCCACAGATGACCGGTATATTGCCTTACAGGCCAGAAGAAACAGGCGGCAGACAGCGGGAGAAATCGCTAGACACAGGCGACTGGACGACCGATATCGCGTTTTACCGTGGCCAGAAGACTGCACGGTGGTGGTCTGTTTGCACGACACCCTGTACGGTGTGTACCTCTAACGCCTGCCCATCGGAGAAGGCGTTCTCTGTGGTGCCGGGAACACCGGAATTGGAGAGACAATGAATGGGGACGAGTACTCTTTACAGATGAGAGCAGATTCAGTCTGAGTAGCGATTCTCATCGCATACTCATCTGGAGAGAGCGGGGAAGCCTCAATCATACCTCGAACATCATTGAAAGGGACAGGTATGGAGGTGGCGGTGTTCTCGTTTGGGGAGGCATCATGCTTAGTAATCGTACAGACCTTCACAACTTCGACGCAGGTTCAGTCTACGGGACCCGTTATTGTAACGAGATTGTTCTTCCATATGTGCGTCTTTTTAGAGGCGCTATGGGTCCGCAGTTCCTTTTCATGGACGACAATGCACCATGTCATCGCACAGTAGCTGCCGAACAGCTCTTAGAGAGTGAGGATATTGAACGTATGGATTAGCCGGCACGATCTCCGGATCTCAATCCCATCAAGCATGTATGGGATTTTCTAGGCAGACGCTTGGCAGCTCGTACCTTACCACCAGTAATGATTCCGGAGCTTTGATTGGCGCTGCAAGACGAATGGGCAGCAATGCCTCAACAACTCATTGACACCCTCATTCTCAGCATGGGCAGATGCTGTCAAACCTGCCTAGCAGTCAGGGGAGATCATATCCCCTATTAAAGACCGGATGTTTCTTGCTGGACATCCATCACAGGGATGTTTCGGCCTTCAGTCGCATTGTGCTCCATGCTACTTTTTCAAAAAAGCTCCTTTTTATCCCTCTGATTTCTCTTTTAGTAAGTGTTGCTTACATTACTCATGTCCTTACGTATTGGGGATCTTACGGTATTAAATGTGTTGATTTGGAAAGCTTTTGTACAAAGTTATATTGAAAAAACTGTCTCGTCCTTAATTTTTGCACACCAGTGCAACTTGGCTTTTTAGCTTTTTTTCCATACTGATGAAGTTTTTTGTTCTTTGTTCTCACTGTCTTCAGTCCATAGTTTTGAAGATTTGTTGTGCCAAAATTTCATCCATATAGCAAGCTGTGAATGTAAAACATCCGGCACTGGAGTTAAAAGTGAGCTTTATAGAAGCTGTAACTCAGTTGCTACCTGCAGGAATACATTTTATTCAAATCTACTGTGGGCAAGAAAGTCCTGAAGAAAGACATATATCTTCAATACGGCAGATAGCCCTCAAATACTTTGTCATATTTAAATAATGAAACAAAACTAATACAAGACATTTTTCATTTTTTTTGACTGTCTTGAAAACATCTGAACTACTCATATATGCAATTTATACATATCCTTCTATTATGTACAAGGTTTGCGCAGGTATCATTAAGCTTTTGACAAAATATTGTGCAAATTCTCTGCGAAAGTGAATGTGATAAGAGACTTCATATGCTTTTTCAAAGCATTCGTGTAAGTGATAGGATTAAGGCATTATAACTCAGGGTGTCTGTGCCATGTAATTGGAAGTCACTCTGTATCATTTTATTATCTTGTTTTATGAAGTTTTTCTCCTAGACATATAGTAACAATCTTTATTTTTTATCACTTCTCATATGCATACTTCTCATATTAATATGTATATGTGTTTTAAAATGTAAAAATAAAAATACTTCCTTTTATGTAAACCTGTTAATTTTGTTAATACCAAATAAAGCATCTGTATACAAAAAAGCGGAATTCTTCATAATAATACAGGGACAAAAAGCAATTTATCTTTTATAATGTTCATTTGTATTATTGTATTATATTGTTTATGCTTTGCAAGGAATATCTCTTTTTGAAAAGTTATAATTTTAATTGTACGGTAATCATTTCATGTAATTTTGATCAGCTATTTGAAGAAATAATATTTGAAGTACTGAAAATTCTATATTTATGTTTAATAGTCAAATCAAATTCTTCTGTTATTGAAATACATGCAAGTTAATATTTTAACTCTTAATATTTCTTTTTGACCTCAAAAGGATTTCGATATTGGAACATATAAAATAATAAGTGTTTTATTTTAATTTGAATAATAAGTGTTTTATTTTAATTTGAAATTTATGGCTTCAGGTACTTAAAATCCAATATTGAAAATTTTTATTAGAAATGCCATTTAATGTAAATAATGTTTATTTTTTCCAGTTGCTGATTCCGGAGTTCTGAAATGCTACAGGGGCTAAAAACCTTTTTACAGTAACTTTTCAGATAAATAACTACATATTGCAGACTTAGTTTTTAAAAGAGTTAAGAATTGTTTCACAGTTTTTGATTTTAAAATTTTATTGATTGATAGCTCTGTCTGATTTTAGATTAAATATGTAACAGGCTGCAAATTACTGATTTCATATTTTGTAATTAGTCTTTTTAATGGACTTGATGTATTAATTATATCATAAATAATATGAATTGACCCATTTGTATTTTACTTTATGCTTATGATACTTATATATTATTTCAATCACCTTAGTAGAAATCACCAAATTTTCAAAATGTGAGAAACTGTGGCAACCACATGCATAGCATTTCTTTTAGCAACCACGTGTGTATCAGTTTTAACAGCTCACATTACCATTTTTGTTATATTTCAATTCAATGCTTTTATATAGACTAATTTAATTTTAAAATATGTGCTTGTGGGATTTGCCTGCAGTAAAATTTCTGCAGGAATACAGCATTTTGCCACAGAATTGCAGTTGGCTGTATCTTAGTTATTGCCACAAAATTTCCACTACAGCAAAATAAATAAAAGCCTGCATTTAATTGTATGTGTTGAACATTTAAAATGCCCTGGTCCGAAAAACAAACATTAATTACAGAACAACATGCAGAGAGAGGAAAAGTTTACAGAGGTTATATGTATAACTTTACAGCAGATCATGGTTTAGCGAATCGTTAACAAAACACAGAAAACAACCAATAAAAAATAATATAAAGAAAATATAAACAAATAAAATAGGATTAAGTTTCAGAATACATCGGATGTGACAGAAAGCTATAATTCCTTTTAACCAATAAGAATGCAATTACATATATCTCAACACTCCCCCTTAATCACACATTATAGGAAAGATAGAAGAATTACACAGTTTTTAAACAGCTCAGTGACAATAGTTCATAAAATTTTGTTTTGGACAGAGCCTTAGTTAATATATCTGCGATTTGTAAACTTGATTGTACACTGCACAAAAAAAAAAAAGAAAAGAAAAGAAAAAAGGGACAGTTCTATATCTCTCATTCTACTGGGCCGATTGACAAAATTCAAATTGCGTTTTTCATGTCTCAAAAGTGCGACTTAAGATATATATTAGATTTATATATAGCACTATTCTAACAGGTATTTTGACATAATCGGATTCTTGAAATAACATACAATTTTTCCATATTTCAATTCTACAACTTAAATTAGCCAGATGCCAAGTTTGTAATAATCATAGAGTAGTTTTTAAAAAAATTATCTCTCAAAATTTAGCTCATCATTGTTAATGAATTTGGCATATATTTATTAATATCTTTTTATTAAAACTTTTTTGATTTTTCCTTTCACCTTTCAAAATTTAGGTTCATTTCAAATAAAATTCACCATTTTTTGTTTTTATTTTTAAATTTCTGTTTTAATAATTTTTTAAATTTTTTTCAAAAAAGTGTTTGAATTATAACTATAAAATTTTACCACCATCTTAAAGTAGACGTTTTCTAAGCATACCTGAAAAAATTAGTGTTTTATTCAAAATTTCTAGATATACACGAATTTACATTATTCGCATTTGAAATTTGGCACCTTTTTCTTGAGCTAGTTTTAGCCTTAAATTTCAAATAAATTTTTACGCAGAATTAATTATACGAAATTTTCCTTCATGATACATAATAAATATTTTAATACTATATGAAGTTTTTTTTTTTAATTATAGATGATATTATTCAAGATTTTGAATTTTTAAAATTCTTTCTTTCTTCCTTTTCTTTTTTTTTCTTTTTTTTTTTTTTTTTTAATATTTGTAAGAATAAATTTTACCTTCGCCGGGCTATTGTCTGCTACTTTACTTGACTGCTTTAAATTGAATTGTCTAAAACTGAGAAAGTTTATTTGATGTTATTTCACACGTTTTCAAACAGGACGTGACAGTTTGGGTCATATCCCAGCTTAAAAATTATATATATAAGTTAATATTATTAATCCTCTTTGGAAGATGATGATTTAAGTAGCTAATTTTCTCTCGTGCTACAGATCGTAAACCTATGAATCTAGAATATATTTGATTCTTACGATTTAAAAATAAATATTTCTAATTGAAACATTTTAAGAAACTAAATGAAGAATGAAAATGTGTAAGCAACCCAATGTTAAGCTATTAAAGCAATATATGCAAGTCATCGTAAGTTAAATGTCAGTTAACATCTTTCTCATTATATATCCTTTTGAACAGAAATTGAAAGGCGTGTTAACTGTGCTTTACTGTATTTTTCTCTTTTATATATTCAGTTTTCAGATGCATCGTATCTAGGCACAAGTATTCTTCCGAAAGACACAATAAAATAAATAAATCAAATCTGGAAATTTATATTAATACATGTATTAAAATGCTCAGTCGATGAATTAATAGAAAATTTTAAAACAATTATCTGAAGAGACATGCAACACAAACAATTAAAATAAAAGTCCAAAATTTAAAATACCTAAAATAAAAAAAAATAACCAATATATATATATAAGAACTAAACTATTTGAAAAAAAAAACGATGCACCTTTTATTTAAATTATGCAGTTCGAATGGGTAAATAGAAATTTTTAAAACATATTCAAAAGAACCATGCAATCTTAAGCAATAAAATGAAATTAGAAGAAAAAGTTACTTAAAATAATACAATTTATTAAAAATATAAAAAAACATATTTGAAAGAAAGAATGATGTTTTATTCGCACACAATGTAAAAAGAGAAGGCAACAGGTTGCCATATATTAAGAAGTTGCCGAGTAATTATTCTTGGCCAAACTGAAAAAAGTACACAATATAATATTTGAATTTCCGTAAATTTCGCACCAAATTTACAAAATTTAATATTTAGGCATAATTGAGTCGTATAAATTAAAATATGTTTAAAAAATTGGTATGTTTGCAGAAAAGTCCGATTTTGTGTCAACAACCTATGCTAGGGTGCTATTATAAAATCTAATATATATCCTAAGTTACGATTATTACAAAACTTGGCAGTCTGGCATAATTTAAGTTGTAGAATTGAAATATGGAAAAAAATTGGTATGTTATTTCAGAAGAAGTCCAATTTTGTGTCAAAATACCTATGTTAGAATAGTGCTGTATATAAATCTAATATATATCTTAAGTCGCGCTTTTGAGACATGAAAAATGCAATTTGAATTTTGTCAATCGGCCCAGTAGAATGGACGGTATAGAACTGTCCTTTTTTTTTCTTCCCTCCCCTCCCCCACAGTGTACATATTCAATTTTGATATTATTTTCTTCAACAGTCTTTTATGAGTGAACTTTAATTTTATATCTATATGTTTCAACCTACCAGAAAAGTTTTCATTAACAATACTTTTAAAACATGACTGGTTATCTTCAAAAATATAAATATTTTTAACACTGAAAGTTTCATTTACTACATTTTTTATCCATAAAACATCTTGAATACCTTTGCATAAAATAATTATTTCAGCTTCTGTTGATGAAACTGCAATACACTTTTGCTTGTTACAGCATCAAATAATGGCAGTTTGAAAAATTATAAAGTAACCAGTAATTGATTTCCTATCATGAGTAATCTCCAGCCCCCAATCTGCATCTACATACAAACAGAAGTTTGCTCCTTCCAAATCATCCTTTTTGTATATATATTTTTAATTTAAGGTGATTTTCAAGTACCTAAGAATTTCCTTTAGAACTCTCTTCCTTTTTCTCACTAGGCAACATCAGTAGGATGCTCCTGCAATTGGCTTAAGCAATTCACCACAAATAAAATATCTGGCCTTGTAAAATATGCTAAGAAAGTAAAAATCCAATTAATTCTTGTATGGCCATGAATGCATTTCCTTTCTGAAATCAGCTGCGTAGATTTGGTTCAGTGGGAGTTTGGATAGTTTTACAATCAGATATTTTAAATTATAAGTAATTTTTCAATATATGGTTTCTGATCTAAATATAAACAAATGGACTCGAACTTCAGTCTAATGCCCAAAAATTCTGAGACACTTACAGATTTTGACATTTGAAATTCTTTAGATAACAATGATGTTATAACATTTGTTTCTTTTATATCCGATCCTGCAATTAATAAGTTGTTCACATAAAGAGCCATAATTACTTTCTTACAATTTAGATTTCTGATGAAAATACATGGTTCAGAGTCCAATTGCTTAAAATATAATTTAATAACAAAATTAAGAAATTTCTGATACTGTTAAGTTTAGGATTGTGTATCCATAGATCGCCAATAGATGGCGGTAATGTTTGTTTGTAAAAAGAAACTGTGATGTCAATTATGTATATGTATCAGTTCGTCTTTGGTGTTCGTGAATAAATGTTGTGTGGAAGAACGCTCCTCTGTTTATTACTTTAACTGCGATCCAGTCTGTTTATTAGAGATTTACACATATTTTGTTTAGATACCATTGTCAAGGAGACTGTTTAAGTCCATATAAAGTAAAGGTTTGTAAACCTTCATTATTGATAATTATCAGGGTTAAACGTAAAGAGCACATACAACTAATTACTGGAGACAACATGTCTGTATAGTCTATGCCTTCTTTTTTAATGAAGCAACAAGCCTGTAAGTTCCATCTCGTTTTTTATGTAGAATCCATTAGCAGGAAATGGCTCTTTTATCAGTGGGTAAATTTCATAGATCCCATACGTCATTATCTTCCGTAGATTTCATTTCCTCATCCATAGATCTTTTCCATAGTTTTTGTTCTTATTTTGGTAGATTTACAATATCCTGAAATGTCAGAGTATCTTGTTGTGCAAACATCACTTGGCAAGTTTCAGGATTAGGATACCTAACTGGTTATGTCTTTTCTCTTGTAGATTTTCTTTGTTTCTCTTTCTTATTTGCAGCATTTAATTCGGCGTTATCCAGTGTTTGAAACTGATTTGTCTTCATTTTTAATGTCATCATTGTCATTTTCACTCAAATCAGAACTATCGGAAATGTATTTTTGGTTTTCTATTTTCTTCTTTTCTTCATAAAATTTAACATTTATGGAAACAATGATGCGTCTTGTTTCTGGAATCATTAAACGATATCCCATCATGGAATGAGGTACAAATATCATTCTGACAGATTTTTCATCTAGTTTCTTTCTTTGTTATGGTGGTACAAGGGTATAAGCATCACAGCCAAGTACATGCATGTTTGTCAAATCAGGATTTTCACCGTACTTCAAAAAATAAGGAAC